CGCATCAGCACTCAAGTGCTGCAACATAGAACGTGAAAACAAGAACGCAGCAGAATAGACTCGCACATCATTAACATTTGCGTTTAGGATTTTGGAGAGCGTTAATCAAATACCGTGCTGCAAAAAGTTCTTGAAAACTCAGGTGAATAAAATAATAATCTTTAGCAGCTTCAACATTAGTACTGTCATCATCTGCTGTTAGCGATTTTACGACACCGATATTAAGTAATTTCTTTCTCAATTCAGACGGTCTTTTTGGACTAACTTTTCTCAATTCTTTCTCAATTAATGTCTTATCAAGAATTAAACTGCTCTTTTCCATTGCTTGAAAAGCAATACTTCCTATCACGTCTAATATCTCACTGCAATCTTCTATAACTTCACTGTTATCTTTCAAATTCAAATGGCGTTTATCGCAGTTACAAAACTTTTCCAAGTATCTTCTACACAACCATTCAATTATCTTACTATAAACACTTGTTATTGTGATTGTTGTCCCGCTAGTTATTGCGTGTTGTTTATTTTCTTCTCCGTATGCACTACATATTAGTTCTAATGTAATTGGTATATGACCAATACCGTATATACTTGGTTTTGATTCCAAAAATGTTAGTAATTGTTTCGATTTCTGTGGTTCATTTGAAGTAAAGAAGTTGTTTACGTATTTTTCAATGTTATCATTCGTAAAACCGATTATTTCCATTTGAGCATCATATTTAAGATAATCTGTATTATACGGACGAGATGTTAATATTTGATACGGAGATTTCATTAGAGAATCAATAAGATTTTGCAAATGCTCACAAATGCTTAATTCATCATATCCATCTAACCAGAGATTCGTAAATGAGATCAGACAAAATTTGATATTTTTAGCCTCCTAGTTCTACTCTTTGCGGAGTTGACGGTTTTGCTAAACCAGGCGGGCTCTTGCAGATAGTGGAAGAATTTTTTGTGCGCACAAGAGAAGTTGGCCGATTGTTTGAAAAACATTTCGGCAAAATTTTTGTAATTGCTGATGTTGATACTTCGATAACACTTTAATTTAAGCAGATTTCAATCGAAAATGCTACACAATGATTTACTGCAGTTTTTGCAAGAATTTTGCTTCTAAAAACTGAATTATAGCCGTGGTAGCATTTACATTCTATGTCAAGTTTGTGACTAGGTGTCATTTAAATAACACGTTATGTTTATGAAATA